ACACACACACACACACACACACACACACACATTGCTGTGTGAGGTGGTACATGCATGCCTTTGCAGTACTCCAGAGGCTAACATAGAATGACCTTGAGTTTAAAATCAGTCTGGACTACATATTAAGACTATGTCTCAAAAATCCCAAACAAACAAAACAAAATTAAAAAAAAAAACCCTAAAGCACACAAACAATAACAATTAAGGCTGGGTGAGATGCACAGGCCTTTCATCTCTGCACGCTGGAGGCAGAGGCAGGTGCATTTCTGAGTTTGAGGCCAGCTTGAGGTACAGAGTGAGTTCCAGGACAGCCAGGGCTACACAGAGAAACCCTGTCTCAACAAAACAAAACAGAGCTATAACAATTAACAACCTCTTCCTCCAAATAACAAATGAGAGAAAAGATGCCTTATTCAACTGTTAGTGGGAATGTAAATTAGTCTAGTCACTATGGAAATCAGTATGGAGGTTCTTGAACAAGCTAAAAATAGATCTCCCACATGATCTAGCTTTGCCCTTTCTGAGTATTTTCCTAAAGGAATTAGAGTCAGTGTACCACAGAATTACATGAACATCCATTTTTTATTACAACACTGTTCTTAACAGCTAAGATATGGAACCAGCCTAGATGTCCATCAACAGATGAATGGAACAAGAAAATGCAGTATGTATACATAGTGGGGGTATTCTACCCTAAAGAGGAATGAAGCCATAGCCTTTCCAGGAGAATGGATGGAACTGGAGGTTACCATGTCAAGCAAGATAAACTGTAAGACAAGTGACACATGTTTTTCAGTCTTGTAGAATCTTAAAAAAGAAAATAAAAACAAAACAAGCCATGACAGGCCGGAGAGATGGCTCAGTGGTTAAGAGCACTGATTGCTCTTCCAGAGGACCTGGGTTCAATTCTTAGCACCCACATGACAGCTCACAACTGTAACTCCAGTTCCAGGGGACCATAACAATGTATGTAAAATAAAGTGAAATAATTAAAAAAACAAAAAACAAACAAACAAGAGCCATGACATGAAAGCAGAAGGAGGTACACATCAGAGGTGAGGAGGCATACCAGGGGAGGGAAGAGATGGATCCCAGATGAAAACAATGAGGACAGGCTCCTTCTAGGTATGGTGGAGGAGAAGGGTTATTGTAGATATGAGGGAGAAAACATCCAGAGGTGTCTGGAAGGATCTAGACTGAACATGACCAGTAGAATAGATCAGGATGTGGGATGTGGGGTGTGTGAGAGAAGAGATGGGGACCAGGGGGCAAGAGAGGTCCAGGAGCAGACAGCCATGAGCAGGAAGGGAAGTAGAAGCCTCACCCCTGAGAGGGAGTGGTTTGGGGAAGGAGCCATTGCTACTGAGTGAGACTTGTCTTTGAAATGTAACATTCCAGGCTTTTTGTTGATAAGAAGTGACATTATCTCTCCTATAACTACTTCCTGCTGAAACTGAGGTGCCTTTGTGTATGTGGGTGGGCAGGAAGGTTGGAATGATGGTTGAAGGGTAGGAAGGGAGAGAGGACTGCAGGTTGGGGAATAGCTGAGGCTGGTGAAATGCAGGCTACTTTAGGGGTAGTCAGGGATGCAGAGGCTCAGTCTGGTTGGGGAATTCAGCCAGAAGCATCTAGAACTGACTTTTGGAGCAATCTGCAGTGGACTGTTGGGGCAGATATAGACTAGGGATAAGACAGAAGGTAAAGTTAAGGAGCTTTGGGGAAATCTTTATCTTGGGTATACACTTGAACCTTCCAGGCTCATGCTAGTTGGGTGGGAGAGTCCCAAGACAAAGAGAGATAGATCCCACCCTTAGAAATAGGCATTAGGCGGGGAAGCTTAGGCTTTGACAGATGAAAGACCTGGATAAATCCAGACTCCCTAGCAGAAAAAAATAGAGCCAAAAATCTAGCAGGAAGAGAAAAATCAGAAATCTAGGATTAGCCAGTTCAGGGTTTCAGGAACTAGCTGAAGATAAAGTTAGATTGTAATCTTGAGAATAATCTTGAGAAACAGGGAGTTCCCCCTAGTAATTATCATTGGTATTTTTGTAATACTGTGTTTCAGGAACTAGCTGATTATGACCTTGAGAGTGATCTTGAGAAGCAGGGAGTTGCCCCTTGTGACCATCACTGGTATTTTCGGAATTTTCTGTGACACCCTCCCTGCCCCTTTCGGTTTACTGGGCTGTGGTTTCTTCCCTTAAAAACCCCTTCTCCCAGCTACTCAGGGTCGAACTCTTCCCCTGCGTGAGTTCTGAGTCTGGGCCCCAGTGCACTGGTTCCCTTCTTGTCGTCTTGTCATTAAACCTCGTGTGATTGCAGCAAGGATGCTCTCTCGTGAGTTACTGGGCGGGGGGTCGTTTTATCCCGAGATTTGAGTGAGAGTCTCTCCATATGGGGGGGGGGGGTCTTTCACTGGCAGGAATACATATTTGGAATCTGTCTGACCTGCCTGTGAAAAGTTTATCTAAATCGACTTTCTGAAGCATACTTGATTTGCTTTTCCAAGACAAGGTTTCTCTTGTGTCCTGTCTGTTCTGGGACTCACTCCGTAGGCCAGGCTGTCTTTGAACTCACAGAGACTCACCTGCCTTTGCCTTCCAAGTGCTCGGTTTAAAGGCATGCGCCACCACTGCCTGGCTTAATATAAATGTTAATATAACAATAGCACGAAGAGGGAAAGAAATCTGAAATATTTCTATTTTTTATATACCTTAAATCACTTTCTTAGACCTTTAAACTTGGATTTACACACTTTAAACACTTCCTTAGACCCTCAGAACTTAGAGAAGCTTTAAACCTTTCCTTTTTATCCAGTCATTTACCATGAGAGAAGTAGTTGACTTCAAGAACAGTCACTGCAGAGCAAGTCTTTACAGAAAGGAATAGTAGTGAGTTTATCTCTTTTAGTGTGAACCCTGTAGACTTAGTCTGCCAGACTGACTTATTGTTGGGGGATCAGAATATTAAAGCCACCCCACCCCTTCAAGCAGGTCTCTTTGGTATGTTAAATACTTTAGATAAAGAAAAAGGTTCTGAAGCAAGAATCTTCTGAATCTCCTTTACCCCCTTTTTTTAATCCTTCCTGTCTTCTCAAGGTAGGACACAGAGACTAGAACCCTTCTCCCCAAAGCAGCATAAAGCCTAGAAATATTTCTCTCGGCACCCCTTGGCTTTTTGGGGGTGTGGGTGAATGCAGATTTTCACTATGAAGCCCAAGCTAGGCTTGAACTCCAGATTGTCTTGACTTGTCTTCGCTAGGACTACAGGTGTACAACCTTGCCAGGCTTCC